CAAAGGGGGACAGAACATGTGACAGAACAATACCAATACAATGCAAAACATGAGGGGATCGAGGGCCCTGCTCTTTCGAGCTTACAATCTAGAATGAGCATTTAACTATACATTTTCATACTAACCTGAAGTATACATGAAATCTCCATGATATTCTCCTGCAAAATTGAACTGCAAATGTATTACCATAATACAACATGTACATTTCTAACATGTAAAAAAAAAAAAAAAAAAATACTTTGATTTTATTTTGGCATAGAATAACATTGTATACTATGGTGTCATAATCCTATAAAACTTATACTGCACTGGTAGATGGGTGTATTGAATAGCATGCACCTATAGATCTCTGCAGTCAAGTAAATTAAACCCTCACCTTGTAAAACAAACTCACACAATTTACCATTTTGCCAACCTGCCGCAGTATTTTTACTGCAGCAGGTTGGCTCGTACAGGCACTGTAATGTACCTGTACCATACGGCTTCCTTCTGAATCCGCATTCGTGCAATCGGAAGCCCGAGCTGTCACTGGCTGCAGGACTAGTTTTTCAGCCAATGATTTTGCCTCAGACCCTGCTGATCACCTGCAGCCAATGACAGATGGCCTGTGCCTGTATTTGTAAAACACAGGCAGCAGTCGATCTAACCATTCCTTTTCAGTCCAGTAAGATTAGAGAACACCACACAAGATTAAGCAGCACACTGCATTTTACTAGTATAATATCTGTACCGATCAATATATTGTCAAACAGAAATATAGTAGTATCCCCCTTAGTATAGCATTCCCAAAAACACAGCATTTGCAGGATCAGCCCCGATACTTGCCAGCACCCTCTGACCCCCCCCCCCCCCAAGTGTGGTGTCAGTAGATCACTCACCTGTGATACATTGTACACAAAACTGCATCGTTTGCAGAATTAGGCCTGAAAGAAAGGTACACTAGTGACGAGGCCTACAGAATTCTGACAAGAGTGGAACAAAGGGGAAGCCTGACTGTCAGAATCAGACTCAGAATATGAACCTTTAGAAATCAGTGGCGCCCTGTCAAGGAGTTTGGACAATAGAGAAGAGGTCCCTGTTAAGGTCTGGCATACCCAACCCGAGGTAGCTGAAGTGCTAGGAATGCATGATTTTTCTCATATGCAGCAGAATGCCACTACCAGTGCTGCATTACCATTTAGTGGACTAGCAAGCACCAGTGGCCTAGTACATTCTCATCTTTTACAGAGCAGCACTGCAGTATCTCATGGTGACATGGCATGTCCCAGAAGTCCAGTCCAAGCTGGTGAGGTGGCTAGCACTAGTAGTCTCAGCCACCAAGAATTCAAGAACAGGCCAGTAGAGTTCACAGTGTCTTTCCAGAGGTGCTTACGAATCCCGACTGGCAGCCCCCAGGTTCAGCAGCACCTGTTATCCCCCCATTCATGGCTCAACCTGGAATTCTGGTGGAAACAGCAAATTTTAACTCCTTGATTTTTTTTTTTCCACTGAAGATCTGTATCAATTGATTGTGGACCAAAGCAATCATTACACTCTTCAATACCTTGCCACTGACCCAGATTCAACTCTTGCTAGACCATTCGCATGAAAGCCTGTCAGTTTACGAATGTAAAACGTTTGTCTAATCGTTAACATGGACATTACAAAAAATAATAAATCAGTCTACAGCCCAAATTCATAAAATGTCTATGTTCTCTGGTGCAATGTCCAGTAAACTGTATGAGGTAATGTGTTATGCATTTTAGAAATAACACACTGTCATCCTTTGGGTGATCCTGAATGATTGGCGCTACAAAACTTGGCCTCTCAAACTACCTCACTGAGAAATTTGCAGATACGTACACACCCCAACAAAATATCCTTGTAGGACAAGTCCCTCATACATTTTACTGGCTGCTTTGCATTCAAGCAGCATCTCCCCAGCAAGCGTACTAGATCTGGGGTCAAAATGTACACACTCTGTGAGAGGGTGACAGGCTATAGATGTAAATTTTAGAGTTGATGAGGGAAAGGATAGTGAAGCAGCCCCCCCCCCCCCCCCCCGAAGGCCCAGACTACATGGAGAGCAGTGACAAGATAGTATTGGACTTGGTGTCGTCTTCGTTCCGCAAGGGGTACTACTTTTATGTGGACAACTTCTATACAAGGGTGCTCCTTTATTCAATCTTGGAATTGGCTGCTGTGGTGCTGTGCGACCTAATAGCTGGGGCTTCCCCCAATGGCTCATTAACACATGACTTCGAAAGGGGAGAAAGCCTGCTTGTGCAATGGAAACATTTGTTGCAGTGAAATGGAAGGACAAAACAGGATGTTTCCATCCAGTCTTTCATTCACACAGATACGACAGTGCAAATTTGCTGGCATCTGCGGTTGATAAGCCTCTCTGTGTCCATGATTAACCTTAACATTTGAAGGGGTGGACCAAATGATGACACCATACTTAAGTTTCCTGCAGAGTTAGACATTGGTACAAAAAAGGTGAACATTTATTTAAATTGGCTTTGTGCATTACACAGCAACCGGAAGAAGTGGACTCTTCTTAAAATTTCAGGAATCGATCCTCACAGCCCTTTTGTATCTAGAAGGTGCTGTGGCCCAAACCCCAAATCCAGATGCCGTGAGCCAGTTGCATGAGAGTCATTTTCCCCAATATCCTCCCTTGTACCCAACATCATCACCCCAAAGAAGATGTTGTGTCTATGGAAGACACAGAATAAAGCAAGACACCTGTTATTTCTGTCCCTTCTATCCTGGCTAACCTGGCTATCAAGTACTGCTTCCACCACTACCACACACTAGTGCTATTCCAAGGTATTTACTAAGACTATTTTGCAGATCTCATTTGTTGCCACAAGTTTTTAGAAAAGTAAAAGAAAACAAGTTTTTTTTTTAATTTTATTTTTTCATTTTTCAATTATTTTGTGGAGGACAGGAAGGCGGGTGGGAGGCTGTTATTGTTCGGAGGGAGAGACCCCCTCCATAAGAGGAGATCTCCTTCAGGGGTTTCCTCTCTATTAGCTGTAAGCTCAGTTTTGCTGAAAAATCTGTCCAATGTGTCTGTGCTGCATAACCCTCTGGAAATGAGACCACGTTATCGTTCAGATTCAACACTGTTCGGTACAGTTATGTTGGGGTGGTGCTTCTCAAAAAAAAAAACAAAAAAAAAAACATGCCACTCATGCCATAAAATCCATTATGGAAAAATGGAATAACAGCTAACCTCCTCCCTGTCTTCCTCTTCCTCAGTGGAATGCTCAATAAGCGCCTCCTGCTGCTCACTGTGGAGTTCAGAAAGTTCTTCCGTGGTCAGCTCCTCATATTCCTCAACAAGCTCCTCTATGTCTACACCATTGACGTCCAGACCCATAGTCTTGCCCATGGATACAATCTCATCCATGACCTCTGCATCAGACCCTTCAAAGTCCCATTCTGGCTACAGTTTCCTCCAGGCCGAGTTTAAGGTCCGGTACACGACATCTTCCCAGACTTTGTGATGAGGTTGATGCAGTGGAGAACAAGTTTCTTCCAGAATTCTTTCAGACTCAAGACATCTCTTTAGTGACATTAAAACACCTAGTGAAGAGCGCCTTTGTGTACAGCTTCTTGAAGTTGCAGATCACTTGCTGGCCCATGGGCTGCAGAAGAGGTGTCATGTTGGGGGGGGGGGAACTTTACCTTTATGAAGTCATATTTAGAGTCCATATCGTCCCCCAAGGCTGGAGGGTGTGCCAGGGAATTGTTTATAAGAAGAAGGAACCTTTCAGGCAGTTGGTTGTCTGAAACATTTTTTCTTTACAGTGGGTGCGAACACCTCGTGCAGCCATTCCTTGAACAATTGCCTAGTGACCCAAGCTTTCACATTGGCTCTCCACATGACAGGCAGTATGGCCTTATTCACATTCTGCTCTCTGAATGCACGAGAAGTCTGGGAATGGTACACCAGTAGTGCCTTAATCTTCAGATCGGCACTTGTGCTCGCACACAGCAAAAGGGTCAATCTGTCCTTCATGAGCTTGTGCCCCCACAGTGCCTTTTCCTCCTGCGTGAAAAATGTTCTGTTTGGCATCTTTTTACAGAAGAGTCCTGTGTTGTCACAGTTCAACACTTGTTGAGCGACGTGTCCTTCTGCCTTCATGAATTCCGCAAAATTCTTTGTAGGCTTCTGCAGCGGCCTTGCCAGAACTGGAAGTCTCACCATTTCTCGTCACTGTGGATGCCACTTCTCTTGCAGAATTCTTCACACCACACTCTACTGGCTTTAAATTCTTCGCTTGCTGCACTTGTAGAGGGTTTTTTTGCAGTAAATCACTGTGCAATTTCCTGTTTTTTTTTCACAGATCAGCTGTTTCTCATTCAACCAAGCACGTTTTTTCATCTCTTACAGCACTTGAGTCCTCTGCTTGGTTAACAGTTACTTCTTTTGCCACATTAGCTCCTTTGATTGCAGCTGTCTTCGTCGAGATTCTCCATCTTGTACTCCGAGACCAGATCAGTCACACAAATACCACGGTCATGCTTTTCTACAATTTCCTTCTTCGACTCCATTGTTACTTTCTTCACAACCTCATTCTTACCATGCTTGCTCTGCACATTGACACCTTCATTACCCCTCTGCTCTGAATTTTCTTAGGAACCATACTGGATGTCCGGTGCAGTATGTGCTTAAAAAAAAAAAAAAAACCACACACACATAAAAAAGCTTTACAGCAAGTGTGCACAGGGATGTACAGTACTGTACAGTACGTGCTATAAAGCACACCAAAAAGTTTCTCATTACTGTGTCTTCACACAACACTGTACCCATATGCAACACTGTACCCATATGAAATTTTTATAATTTTTTTTGAGACAGATAGAGCTTTCTTTTGGTGGTATTTAATCACCTCTGGGATTTTTATTTTTTCTTAAACCAAAAAACACTTAAAATTTTGAAAAAAAAACAAGAAACATTTTCTTAGTTTTTGTTATACAATTTTGTAAATAAGTGATTTTTCTCCTTCAATGATGTGCGCTAATGAGGCTGCAGTGATGGGCACTGATAGGCTGCACTGATGGGCACTGATAGGTGGCACTGGTAGGTTGCACTGATGGGCATTGACAGGCATCACTGATGGGCACTGAAAGGCAGCATTGATTGGCATTGATAGGTGGCACTGACTGGCACTGATGGGTGACATTGAAAGGCAGCTCAGATGGGCACTGATATGTGGCATTGATGAGCACTGACAGGTGGCACTTCTGGGGCCACACTGATCATCAGTGCCCTGATGATCAGTGTACATGTCCCCTCAGCAGAAAGCCAATTACCGGCTCTCCTCTCGAGCTGTCAGCGTGACAGCTCGAGAGGAGAGAAATGCCGATAACCAGCATTTCCGTGTTTACATGTGATCAGCTGTGATTGGACACAGCTGATCACATGACTGAGCCGACATCTTTGGCTCTTTCCATGATCCGCTGTGTCCGAGGGACACAGCGCACCGGCGATCGCTGCGCGCTCCCTGAACCGTGCATGCGCAGTGAGAATGGTATGACGTCATATGATGTCCTATCAGAACGGGAGAACCACCATGCACCTGTCATTGTACTATAGGGCGGGTGGAAGGTGGTTAAGTGCACAAAAACACAATACCCAATTGTTTGGTAAAATATAAAAAAAAAAATAAAAAAAAGGGAGTATGTTACACCAGGTAAATGGATACCAAACATGTCCAGCATTAAAACTGTGCATTCATGGCGACAAACTACAAAAATTCTGTTTTATCCATTGGCGACACTTTAAAAGCTAGGATTTCTTTTATAACAAAGCAGACCACCGGTAGAAAAGAAAAAAGTTGGGCATACATGAAATTTTTTTTTTCTTTTAAATGCATCCAGCAGGCTGAATGAAAAAAAAAAAAAAAAAAAAAAAAACCAACAGATTCCTTCATTCACATCAATGGATGTAAATGAAGAAATCTCTGCCAGAGTGTATGGTATGTTCAACATTAGTATCTATCGCCCTGCATCCACCCACGTCTAATGTGGGGCATACATGTAAAGAACCTAACAGATTGCTCCGTTCACATCAATGTGGAAGAAAAAAAATCGTGTGCTAAAAAAACACACACACACACACACACACACACACACTCTCATGCATGCTTAGGCATATACAAATATGTTTTTTTTTTCCAAACTACGGATGAGAAATTTCCTGCAAAGCTGCAGGCTCTGACCTATGTTCTCTGAGAGCAATGACCAGTTGGTGTCAAAATAAACAGATCAGTGCTGCAGCTGATTGTGTTCATGCAAAAGCAAACAAACTATGGTTAATAATGAAACCATAACAAAATAGCATTAACAAAGACCACTTTCTTTTTCAGAACCATAATCAAAATTTTCAGCCTTTGATTTTAGGGTCTCAAAATGTGAGAGAGTTTCCTGACTATTTAACGTCTTTGGAAGCCCTTGTGCGAGAATTGTGTGCCCCAGACTGTGCCATGCTGTACCCTATACTACCACTAGTTTGTGGTAGCGACAGAGCAGTCCTTGATGCAGAGAACAGGTTGGCCAGGATAGGAGGGACGGAAAAAAAAAAAAAAAAAACGTTGACTTATTGAGTCTACTACAGATACAAAATTTTCTTTGGGGTGACTTTTGGGTCGGGGTACCAGGAAGGACATCAGGAAAATGCCTCTCATGCAGCTGGCTCGCTGTATCTGGATTTGTGGTTTGGGCCACAGCACCTTCTAAATACAGAATGACCGTGATTGCTGAAATTTTAGGAAGGATCCACTTCTTCCTGTTGCTTTGTAAATCACAAAAGCATTATATATAACCAATTGAAATAATGAATTTCCCGCAGAGTTAGAAGCTGGTACAAAAAAGGTGTCCAAGTACAGCTTCATCATTTGGTCATCAAAATCTGCGCCTCCCATTTAAAGAGTATAGTCGTGGACACCGAGGCTTTTCAACAACACCAGATGTCATGCAAATTTGGACTGTTGTGTCTGTGTGAATGAAAGACAGGATGAAAACATCCTGTTTGTCCTACCACTTTAATTGTGAGAAGTTCTTCATTGCACAAGTAGGCTCTCCCCACCCCCTCCTTTTCTAAGTCGAGTGTTTACGGCCACTGGGGGAAGCGCCGGCGATTAGGTTACATGGTGCCACAGCTGCCAATTCCAAGGTTGAGTGTCTAAAAAGTAGTATGCTTGTATAGAAGTTGTCCATGTACAAATGGCACCCCTTGTGGAACAAAGATGACACCAAGTCCCACACTATCTTGCCACTGCTACCCATGTAGTCTGGGCATTCAGAGACTCTACTTCACTGTCTTTTCCCTCAAACTCTAAATTTGTATGTATAACCTATTGCCCTCTCATAGTTTATACATACTGCTTGATTGCAAGGCGGCCAGTGTATAAGCAACCCATCTACACAGAGGTTTGTTTGGGTATATACACACACACAAATTTTGCAAAGACAGTTTGAGGGGCTGATCATATTCAGGGTCACCCCCTTTATTTCTAAGACCGATCCCACCATTCTGACCTTTCAGCTGTGGTCTCCTCTCTCTCATGCTGTTCAGTATCATGAGCAGCGTGTTACATATTGAAAACAAAAGGAGCTGTTTTCTGCACACAATGATCTTATAGGAGGCTCATGCTGAACATGACAATGAACTACAAGAACTCAGATCGAAGCTTTCTGACTTGGAGCAAAGCAGTTGAGTCTGAGTGGGACACGGTTTCAGGAACATTCCGAAATTTTATGATGTTCCTGCATGACCTGTCTTCCATCAACTAATGCAGTCCTTACTTGATCTGACTGATCTTGAGATGGCCATAAAGAGGGCTCATAAGCCACCTAAACCTGCCTGCCTCTGTACACAGTGATGTACTGGCCCACATTAATTTTTTTCCATGATAAAAGAAAAAAATTATGATCGCAGCAAAGCAGGCTGCAATCCTGACCACACCCTTCTCTGCTGTCAAGTTGTATACCGATGTATACAAATGGTGAGTCACCATCATTTTGGTTGGGAAAATCCATGATAAATCCTATACAACTTGTACCCTAGAAGGGTGCTTGTGCCTACTAAGTGGCGTATACTACCTGAAACAGCATGAGCACCCCCTCTTCACCATCCTCGCTTCAAATGAAAACCTGACTGGTCTCTCCAGGATACTTCACCAGGAAACTCCTAACAGCTGTCTTTGCTCCTAACCTCTCTAAGCTGGATTACTGAGGCACATCCTTAAATGTTTTTATTTTATTTTTTTTTTTTAGTGGTCTGCTCTTGTTGTCCAGACCTGCACTGTACTGCTCTGGACTATTCCTCCGAACCCTGGATACCCAGCAGTTATATTCTAACTGCCCATAACGCTTGAATTTATAAGACTTTTTTTTTCCACTTCACCCTTTCAACCCACCCATGGACACTCTTCAACTAACTCTCCAGCGACTCCATACCCATTACCAATACCTTTCAGAGTCTACTCCTCCGAAACTGACCCAGCACCAGTATTTTTTGGTCTGGTTCACACCAATGCTTTTTTTTTTTTAGTGCTTTTTGAAGAAACACACTACAGTCCATTTAACATGGCTTCCTATGGGACACATTCACATCTATAATTTTGTGAGCCACCACATTTTTTGGAAAGGGTCAGGGATCGGTTTTAAAAATGCAAAATGTTGCGTTGTTAGTGCAATAGGCTTCAATGGGGACACTTGCAGAAAAAGCATGTTGTGCGTTTTGATGCATTTTGCATTCTTAATCTGCCCAAGCTTGCCCAAAACAAAAAAAATGCATAAAAAACAAACTTGTCAAAAAAAAGCACATGAAAAATGCAAAAAACGCACCACACTGCAAAACAGATAAAACTCAAACTGCATTGATGTGAACCAGAGTTTTCTCCTCCTGGTATGTAGAGGTCTTTGGGAGTGGTGACAAAAAGATTAGACCCTCCGAGTGGGTTTCCCTGTCTATGTTCAATCTCACCCTTCCGGACTTAATACACATTTCCTCTCCCCATAGAATATGGCTTTCAAACTTATCTCTGAATGCTAGAAGCCTGAACCACCAGTACAAAAGGACTGCACTTATTAAAGTCAACCAAGCTACATGGCGATATAATCTTTGTGCAAGAAAAAAATTGATAGTCTTCTTAGCTTCAGCCGAAAAAAAAAAAAAAAAAAAAAGAAGAAGAGTGGGGAGTTGACTGTAGGTCGGAATACTCTCCAATTTACTTCAGCAGATTGATTCTCAGGAAAGATCTCATACTTTTCTGCATCTTTGACCAGAAAACTTTGACCAGTTGAGATTTTGTAAAGACCTCCTTAGACTGCTGTCTAAACACAAGGGTCACTTCATTGGAGACGACTTCAATATGGTCAGAGACCCCATGTTGGACAACTCCTAAAAAGAAACACCTACCACATCACTCCCTGAAATTACTTCATCTTAAATAAAAAGGTCTTAACGAAAGCGAAGGAAAAAATATTTTTGGAATAGAATGGACAAGGCTGAAACCTGTCACTTGAAAATACCAGAGAGCCAAGTCCTGACTGCAGAAGAAGCCAGAACAAGGCAGTAACAAGTTGGGGATGAAAGTGCCAGTGTTCACAGCAGGTGAAAATAGATCTCCAGGTACAGTAGTTTTTTTTTCCATATTGGCTTTTCTGGCTTTGAGCATTGTGGGAATGGCAGAATCATATGTACCCTTGTCCTTCAAGACCTGGGACTTTAAAAGCCATGCCAGTAATTAAGAAGCAGTAAGGTACAGGGGTGCTTGAGAGAGCAGGTCTGGCCTGTTTGGAAGAAGTCAAGGGTCGTCTTCTTGAAGTTGGAGTATGGCTGTGTACCAGATTCTTCTGGGCCAGTTTGGTGCAATGAAATTGCTGATTATTTCCTGTTCTTCTATTCTGTAGAACAGTCAAGGAAGAGTCTGCACTGGAGTAAAGGTATATATTAACCTGCAACAAGTCCATGAAATTAGCAGAGCATCTGGTGCCTATGCTAGATGTTCCTTGGTCCTGGCCACAAACAGGGGTAACTTGTTGCTGAACCGGGAGGCCAGAACATCCATATCAAAAAGGACCCCCATTTCTGACATAGGAGGTTGAAGGGACCATTCAGATGGTGATGACTTAGGAAATCCATCTTCCAATTGTCCACTTCTGGGATGTGAGCAGCAGAGATTGTTGTGCTTTTCCACTCAGGAGACGACCAGACTTGCATCAAGGCTGCCCAATGCCTTGTTCACCCTGATCATTCATAAATGCCAATGCCATAGCACTGTCTGATTTCACTCTGATTGTGTGTCCCTGAAGAGATGTTTAGTAATGCAGAGCCCATTTTATTGCTCTGAGCTGCTGTTGATGGGGAGCTTACCACTCCCCACTTGCTAGAAGTAGATTGTATCTAGCAGTCTTCTCAAAAATAACAGGCTAGATCATTTAGCAGAGTTATCATACAGTATCTCACAGAAGTGAGTACACCCCTCACATTTTTGTAAATATTTTATTATATCTTTTTATGTGACAACACTGAAGAAATTACACTTTTCTACAATGTAAAGTATGAGTGTACAGCTTGTATAACAGTGTGAATTTGCTGTCCCCTCAAAATAACTCAACACAGCCATTAATGTCTAAGCCGCTAACAAAAGTGAGTACACCCCTAGATGCAAATTTCCAAATTGGGCCGAATTAGCCATTTTCCCTGCGGGGCGTCATGTGACTCAGTGTTACAAGGTCTCAGGAGGTGTGAATGGGGAGCAGGTGTGTTAAGTTTGATGTTATCGCTCTCACTCTCTCATACTGGTCACTGGTCAAGTTCAACATGGAACCTCATGGCAAAGAACTCTGATGATTTGAAAAAAAGAATTGTTGCTCTACATAAAGATGGCCTATGTTATAAAAAGATTGCCAAGACCCTGAAACTGAGCTGCAGCACGGTGGCCAAGACCATACAGTGGTTTAACAGAACAGGCTCCACTCAGAACAGGCCTCGCCATGGTCGACCAAAGAAGTTGAGTGCACATGCTCAGCATCATATCCAGAGGTTGTCTTTGGGAAATAGATGAGTGCTGCCAGCATTGCCAGGTTGAAGGGGTGGGGGGGTCAGCCTGTCAGTGCTCAGACCATACGCTGCACACTGCACCAAATTGGTCTGCATGGCTGTCGTCCCAGAAGGAAGCCTCTACTAAAGTTGATGCACAAGAAAGCCTGCAAATAGTTTGCTGAAGACAAGCAGACTAAGGACATGAATTGCTGGAATTATGTCCTGTGGTCTGATTATACCAAGATAAAACTTATTTGGTTCAGATGGTGTCAAGCGTTTGTGGCAGCAACCAAGTGAGGAGTACAAAAACAAGTGTGTCTTGCCTACAGTCAAGCATGGTGGTGGGAGGGTCATGGTCTGGGGCTGCATGAGTGCTGCCAGCACTGGGGAGCTACAGTTCATGGAGGAAACCATGAATGCAAACATGTACTATGACATACTGAAGCAAAGCATGATCCCCCTCCCTTCGGAGACTGGGTCGCAGGGCAGTATGCCAACATAACGACCCCAAACACACCTCCGAGATGACCACTACCTTGCTAAAGAAGCTGAGGGTAAAGGTGATTGACTGGTCAAGCATGTCTTCAGACCTAAACCCTATTGAGAACATCTAGGTCATCCTCAAATGGAAGGTGGAGGCGTGCAAGGTCTCTAACATCCACCAGCTCTGTGATGTCATAATGGAGGAGTGGAAGAGGACTCCAGTGGTAACCTGTGAAGCTCTGGTGAACGCCATGCCCAAGAGGGTTAAGGTAGTGCTGGAAAATAATGGTGGCCACCCAAAATATTGACACTTTGGGCCCAATTTGAACTTTTTCACTTAGGTGTGTACTCACTTTTCTTGTCAGCGGTTTAGACATTTATGCCTGTATGTTGAGCTATCTTGAGGGGACAGCAAATTTACACTGTTATACAAGCTGTACACTCACTACTTTACATTGTAGCAAAGTGTCATTTCTTCAGTATTGTCACATGAAAAGATAATAAAATATTTACAAAAATGTGAGGTGTACTCACTTCTGTGAGATACTACATGTTTCTACACGGAGATGTCATCATTCATATAAGGAGGGCTGCAGAAACCGCACGTGACAGTCAGTATAATTAAAAAACTGACCTGTAAATTACATTCCGTATTTAACCACTTCCCGACCGGCCGTTGTATATAAACGGCCGGACGGTGGCACTGCAGGGTCGGGTGGCCGTCTATAAACGGCCTCCCCGCACCCTGCTTGTGCGCGCTCCCTGGGAGCGCGCAGCAGCACCGCACTCCCGGACACAGTGAAACACCGATCGTCGGACGGGACCTCTGTACGAGGTCCCGATCATGTGATCACTGATTGGCCAATCAGTGATCACATGCAAAGTAGTAAGCAAGATGTCACTTCTGACATCATTGCTTACTATGTGTGAAATCTGTGAATGATCACAGAGGTCACATGGTACAAGGCTATTCACAAAAGCCTTGTTCCATGTGACAAGCTGTGACCAATCACAGCTCACTCTGTATTTCTCAATGAGTGCAGGAATGCACACACAGAGAGAAAGAGAAATGATTGCTTTTACATCCTATATGGGTGTAAAAGCAATCAGTGTAAAAAAAAAAAAAAAAAAATCTTTATCACCCCCCACAAGTAGTACAGTGTCACCATGGTGACACTGTACTGCTAGGGTGACAGTATGTAAAAAAAATAAAAATAAAAATAAAAAAAATATAAAAAAATAAAATAAAAATGTAAAAAAAAAAATGTTTAAAAATTATAATTTTTGCTTATAAACTAATTTGGATTTTTTTTTTTTTTACTAAAAAGATAACGGAACAAATTTTGGCTAAGATTTATGATGAAATATTATTTATTTGCAAAATTTTATTAAAAAAAACACTTTTTAAAAAGTTTTTGGACATTTCATTTACATAGCAAAAAAAAATACAAATCCCAGTGGTGAATAAATACCACCAAAATAAAGCTTTATCTATCTAAAAAAAAATGGTAAAAAATTCATTTGGGTACAGTGTTGCATGACCGCGCAATTGTCATTCAAAGTGTGATAGCGCTAAAAGCTGAAAATTGCCCTGGTCAGGAAGGGGGTAAAAGTGTCCGGTCTGGAAGTGGTTAAGCCCTGTGGAGCCAGGGTACCTAATCTATAAATCCACATTTTTTCTTTCTGCAAAAGGACAGTGTTAAAGTCCCCACATCTTTTTGAAAGATGAAGTAGAAACATTCCCATTACCTTCAAACCATCTGGATTTCCATAATGATATTCAGCAAAAGCATCACTATCAGGCTATCTTCATCTCTGTTTTTACTCTTAATATTTTTGATACTGCGGATGTGTTCATTAATGCGTATCTGGAGCTGTTGCTCGGTCTTCCCAATATAATATTTATTGCAGGGACATTCAAACATATAGACCAAGCGTGTTGTCAAACAGTTCACAAAGTCCCAAATCTTATATTGTTTAGATTGATTGAAATTGGCGAACACATCCTTCCTATCAATAAATTGACAAATTTGACAATCACCACAGGAAAACATGCCTTTAAAGGAGGGGAGTACTTTTAAGCCAGGTATTAAATCGGTCATTTACTGAATTCTGAATGAACATATTTTGTAAAATTTTGCCACGTCGTGCTACCAATTGAGGGCGAGTACCAACTATCTCAGCAATAGCTTGAGATCTAGTAAGTAGATTCCAGTGTTTTGACAGGTTGTCTCTCACTTGTTTCTATTGTGATCCAAACCTGGTGATAATTCTTACTGGGGCTTCTTGAGAAGCATCCATTGCATTAGGGGATGAGGGACAGATTAAGCCATCTCTGCTCTTTGACCATGAGTTCTCGCTCTCTTTTCTAATCACCTTATGTGAGTAGCCTCTCTTCCAAAATCTGCCATACATCTTTGTAGATCCATTATTGAAATCGTTCTCTTCGGTACAATTTTGATGAATTCGTAGAAATATACCCACTGGAATTCCCTTTAATAGGGACTATCTGCTCTCAATAATGTAATAGCAGCAGTACTTTTCCTGAAAGGTGCTTGTAACAATTAACCCTTCTATCTCCTTTCTAAATTTAAGGATCTCTGTATCAGAAGTATAGTCTGCTACACAGGTCAAATTTTGATTGTTTGTAATTTCCGTAGTATGTCCAAAGTATCCTGTACGAAAGAAGGTAACAAATACCATATTTGTAATGCATCTATATATTTCCCAATTCTTTCTAAGGGGCCTGTCTGTTTCTCCCAAGCATGTGAGACTGGCATATTTTCACCCATCCATGAAGGTGGGGAAAAGACATTCTCATTTCCAAGGCTAGACTGGCAATCCATCAAGCTAGAGAGTTCCTTGCTTGATTGGAGTGAAGCATTAGGAAGTTGGTGGGGCCTTGAGTGGAAATTAGTGAAGGGAACAGCCTCAAAATGAAGCAACCATGAGGTCCAACACAGTCAGAGAATGTCACTGAAAGATGGTCTTTTAGATCTTAAAGCCTTAGAGAGAAGTTCGTTTTCCAGAAAAAAAAAAAAAACAACAAACATTTGGCTGGGCCATGTCTAGGGTGAAGCCCAAGTTTAACAAATGAAAGGATAGCTGAAAGGGAGACTTTTGAAGATGATTACCCAATCTAAACCCTGAAAAATCTAAATAGTAATTTGGATGTTTGAAGACAGTTGAGAGCTTGTCCTCAAAAGGGACCAGAAAAACAAGAGATGGCCCAAGACAGTCTAAATATGACTGCTCATGGGTGGATTTTGGTTGGTTTAAAAGATTACAATGACAAGGGGTTGAGTTTTAAAATATTTTGTACACCTTTAAAACCATCAATTAAACCCATAGGTCTGGGTTGCCTGTGACCCAGAGGAATGAAAATTTTAGCAGATGTGCTTAGCAGCGAGGGAGCCCCTTCACTGTGCAAAAGGCTTTGGTGTAAACTTGTTGTGTTTATGCTCCCCCTGGATTTCCTATGGGATTAAAAAGCCCTTTTTTGGAAAAAAAAAAAAATCATTAATTGCTTATTCTGTTCTTCCCCGTATAGGAAATGTCTTCAACTTTGAAAGTCTTAGTACTCAGGCGGGCATGACGAGACAGATTAGAATAAAGTGCGACTTTGCCAAGGCTTTTGCACACACCAGAAGCAAGCATACCTACATTGGTAAGCATATTGTGTGAGGCAATAGCATAAGGTGTATTGGAACCTGGGGGTGAGAAATCTTTTGCGACTATCTAGCACTGCCTTTGGGGATTCTTCCAGGTCTACCTCTTCTAAAAACTGACGAAGCCATGTGGCTGGTGGCGTAACAAATGGGGTGGAGCCTGTAGCAATCGTACCCACAGAGATGGACGCAGTTCAACCATTTTGCTCCAACCTCCATCTTGGCAAAGGATCGTCCACCTTGTACAAATATATCTTTCCTCATCCCACTCCTTCTCTGCTCATCCACAGTGACATGTGGCCTGAGTGATGAGAAGTGTCACAGGTAGCCAAAGCACAGCAGGAAGCTCCGAGCTATAAACCCTCACAAGCTGGGTGTCGTGCGAAGAAACTATGCAATCTGGCACATCGTAAAAGTCCCTCACTGAACTTCAAAAGACCTTCCAAGGGTTCGTAAAAACAGACTTAACTTTTAAAAACTCACTTTTCATATAAGTTGATATCTTCACTTATGGACATAATTACCAAAACATGGAGCCTATATTCGGAAGGCTCAGTTTGAGGCCATTCTCCTGGTAAGTGACACCCCTTAGCTGGCATACATAGGAAAGCAGAAAAGTAGATCTCTTGAACCATTCAAGTGCATATTTCATGTTTCATCCCTACCATTCCGCAGATGCGGCTGTGTATTAATATACTAGTGCCCAAGCCGGCAAATGTACCCAAGAAAAGTTATGAGCCAAAATATAAGCTACGAGAGATTCTGGTTGTACTTAGGTCTCCTCCCAACACCCCCTCCCCAAAAGGAGACAATTGGTTACTACTCTCTGTCACGGATCGCACGATCACCACCCTCAACATGAGACGATCGCACGACGGCGACCACCAATACGTCACGCCCGCGGCGTCAGACCCCAGAACTTCTCACCAAACTCGTGACCGAAGGATCGGTCGATCTAAAACCGCGATGTGACGTGCATAACAATGCCCTGCACAACAATCGTCCAGCTAATGGAACGCAATCGACGCACCGTCAACCTGAATGTGCTTGTTACTGGGTCGGGTTAATTACGCAACTAACCCTCTACTGCCACCACCACTTTTTGCACAGAGAAAGGGGAAACTCTCTTTATCAAATATACACTGTAATGGTTGAAAAGTCGCCTGTCCAATACGGTCACCGCAGGTCGATTGGGCAGAGGATTAAACAAACACAGTAGCGTCTCTTCAGAAGGCAGGGATTCGTAAATTGCAATTAAGCGCTTTAGAAACAGTTTGACTCTTTTAGTAATAAATCTTTCTCTTTCTGAAAGTGTTAAACAGGTGCAATAAAATATTTACAGAAAAAAGATGCAACTAAGATATATATTTATATATACATAGAAAACAGCACAGCACAGCAAAGAGATAACAGGGAGAAGTTAAAAGGTTAAGTTACTTGCCATGTTCAGCCTTAAGGTAAGCAGATCCAAGTTGCAGAGCGAAGGGTCTTTGATCTCCTGCTGTTACGATGTTAAAATTGGGAGATGAGTTTAGCTTAACTTTTTAGGCTTGCCAGCCTGTCTTTTCAAGTCCCCCTGCAGGGGGGGTGGCTCTGAGTACTGGCCAACACCCTGTTTTGGGTGGGATCGTCAGATGGACTCTGCATTAAAACTGACCGCGTCATAATCCATGATATGAAACATAGGTGACAGCTGACCTGAGGAATGTTCATTTAACTTCTGTCACCTGGCTGGTAGGGTTTATGAGGTTCCAACTTCTTTCCAGTCCAGGGAAAAAACTACCTTATCTTGGTTAGGAGGTGTGAGTTTACACAGGCCTTGGGACAGAGAGTCTGCTGTCTCTATGGGGGGCTTTGTAGTGCTGGGCCCCCTGCTGCTCCAGCCTGCCAGCAACTTTTAACACTTACACATCTGTCCCTGTGCCTCTCAGGAAGGGAGGGGGTAGGGAATAAAGGATTGAGGAATACTTCTAATAAAAAAAGGGGAACTCTGCGTCCATCTCTGATGAGCAAGTTTGCTACACTCCCAACAGACACCCTGCTGGGATTTGCTAGAAAAAGGCTGTTAAGCTTGGTGTGCGAGAGAGAAAGCAGAGTCTCGCTGTAACATCGAAACAGAGAGAGACCAGAAATCCTTTTTGAGCTCATAAGACTTGAAACTGCTTAAACCAAGGCTGATTGGCAAGTACTTTTGTTCTGTGTGTGTGTGTGTGTGTGTGTGTAATCTTTTTTCTGTAAATATTTTTATTGCACCCTTTTGACCTTTTAGTAATAAATCTTACTTTCTGAAAGTGTTGA